ATACGAATGGATGGTTTTTCAATCATTTTTTTACTTAAGGAGAACATTAATCAGTCTTCTGATATATTTTTTGTTTTCAGAACATTAAGCCGCCTCCAAGAAGATGGTCAAGGAGAATCAGAGTCAATGCTGTCAAGGCCATCTGGAAGTGAAGGTCCGAGGAGCACCACGGATATGTTCCTGTTGAAGAGAATCATGCCATGGAGAATTCAAGCAATTTCGCGGACAGAAACGAGAATGCTAATGATGGAGCAGGCAAAGATGAACCGAGTGATGCCACTCCTTATAGCAGCGACATTAAAGAGGAGAGAAAACTTTCGACTTCAATAATGACCTGAAACATAGACGGACTTCTGCAAAGAGCCGATGAAAGAGATAGAAATCTAACAAACTATGCAGGTAAAGGACCTGCACTCAGTAATGAGGCTACCGCAGTATATATCAGAATAAACGGAAACAAATCGATTAATAAAATTCTGTTTTCTGGATTGAGCCATGCACACCATTCATCTAAGATTCTCGTAGCATTTGAATGGTTACATTGAATAATTATTAGGACAATTTTGTTCATCGTATTGTTATATAAAGCCTTCCAGGTCGACCGTTTCAGAGGTGTGCCAGTTTTTTCATGACCCTAAACGAATTCCTTACCATGATAGTTCGTGGCATGTAGGCATGGTGGACCCGAGGACAAGTCGCTCCGGGAGTCGAGCTCCTACAGGAGCGTGGTTACCCGTCAGTTGATAGTCACCTCTCTGTGCAGTGAAAGAATGAGGGATAAATCGCTAAGTAATGGTTCGTTTCTATGGGATGAGCCGTGCACCCTGCTATCATTTCTAACTGTAGGTTTTTTAGAACAAGTGTTTAGATTAGAAAATGGCTTGGGAGGGCTATAGACGTGCCAAAAAGACTGCCTCTATATTCTATCAAACAGAACTGACCGCGAACAGATGCTTAGATGAACTAGATGAAATTGAGATTAAATCTAGAAGTTAGTCATCGTTCGAAGGGTCACCCTTGGCTCTCATGGAAAAACTGGACCGAGTACTCTTCTGAAGAAGCCCACAATAAAGCCACGCCTGTGTTCATTCGCATTCCGCTACGACTATCCAAGTCGGACTTCATCCTTTACCATTATCTTATTCTCTATTACTTGGCTGTTGTTCCTAGATAATGGAGATGAGGACCTTAAAGTGCGTATAAATAAATAAGTACATAGGGTCTCATGTACTCAGTGAGCAAAGGGGGTGAATAAATGCATAAAGAGGGGGAGGAAAAGTGCCGAGTACTTACGTGCTTTCTCGTCGATATCGAAAGCTACGCTGTGAAAACAGGAAAGTCTGAATAACAAAAAAGAAAATCATTTGACAAATGAAAATAAGTGAGGTAATTGGAGACGACGAAACGCGTTAGCGTAGGGTTGTTGTGAGTGTGGACGTCGCCGTGTGGCAAATTGCTCGCACCGTTCAGTAAACTGCCACCGGGCGAAGTTCGCGGGAACCAAAACCGCCCCAAGCAGCGTGTTTCTGGAAGTCGTGTCGCAAATATTAATCCGAAAAGGGAGCCATTGAGGATGAAAAAAGGGTTTGAGGACAATTCCTCCTCGGAAAATGCACTATGAAGCCATTTCGCATTGAGACATGCAGCAATGCTTTAATGTACGCAGGGGCTTACTTCGGATACAGTTGATTTCCAGTTCGGGTGATTTATACTTTCTTAGCTAATCCCATTACACCCTTGTTACGATTTTTGTGGTGCCCAAAGATGTTTCATTTGAGGCGGATCTTACGATGAAAAGGCAGCCCATCGAAAATGTTAGAGATGGTCAGTGATGCACGAAAGAAGAAAAATCGAGAAAAATGGCCCAGAACCCGAGAAATGGGACCCCTTCCTTGCCCGTTGATTTGCGCATTGATGCGACTCTCATCGGTGCTGCCCTCTTCAACGCTAACGCTCTCTCTCTGCTGAACGGTGAGGACACAGACTAACATGAAACGATATAGGAAGAGGGCATTACGCGTCCATAGCGCGTCAATTGCGCCGCGGGGAAGGCCGTGCTGGACAAATCTTCGATGCGAATAGCGCGTCGGTCCGCACCCCTACAAAGAGATTATTAGGTCCACCCGTCTCTCCAATAGGTGAGTTTCCGATTCTCCAACCTCGTTCTAATCATGGACCCCTCCATTACCACATTCATAACGACGCACGAGTTCGGAACGAGTGCGATTTGTGAGTGCCGCCGCCTCAGCTTTTTCCGTGGATTTTCTACGAATGAAAAAAAAACAGACCCCACAACTTCCCTCATCTATCAGTCGGGCTAATCCCGGGGTTTGCCTTTGAAATAAAGCACATCTAAAGTTTCCTGAACCATACCTTTTACAATTATACAATACCCTAATTGACATCAAAAATATACATCAAAACTCTGATATTATAGATGCATGCGATTACTGAGTGGCAGGCCATATGGGCTGCCACCGGTGTGGATATGTGAGGATCCCTTCTTTGATCTCACCCTGTGAGCCTGGCTTGCCCTTGAATCGGGAACTAATGGAGAAATGGTGGAGCCTCTAATCCACATGATACTAGACGACAACATCATCTAATGAGCTACAAAAGATAGGTGGATAACATTTTTGACGTCGGCCGATCTCCATTTTTCAAATACAACCGTGAAGGCTTCTAATGGACTAATTACCCGTGTAATGCCCCGCTTTGGATGCCTGATACTTGGGAGCGCAGTTATCCTCAATCAAACACGTGCGATAGCGGCCTGTTACCGCAGGTATTACTTACATTTTAACTTACCAGACCAATAGATCGCATTGTTTACGCCTGCCCCCTTTCAACCATGTCTCCTACATCCTAAGCGGCCCTTCATATGCCCAAGCCAGCATGACAATGCATAATGTTCAAGAGAAATGCGAGAATAAAAAATTTGCTGAGGAGCAATTGCATCACAAATGGGCCTAATGGCCCTCTTTTTGTCTACGACCCTCTATGAAATTCGAATGGTGGACGCATTAGACATGGATGTCCGAATAGTTACAAGGAAAAAAAGAAGGCTTGATGCTCTTCCGAGGCTAATTACGCAATCAACTGAGACCTTTGCCTCAAAGATGAAGTGCCACTCCTCATTCCCACCACTGACTGCGCTCCGCCCCTCCCAGTATTTTGTGTACAGTGTCCAGGTGGTAGTTGGCGAGCACGGCACTTCAGCGATCTGAACTGTACTTCAATGGCTGTAGAAGGTACTCACACCGAATGCCTGACGACAAATATGGAGGTTGAGAAGCTTCAATAGCAGATTATCGGATAGAACCCAGAGATGGGAGCATTACCACGCCGTTCAGACTCCTCGTTGTGCCGCATATTCCAAGGATTTATGCGGCAGTAGTTGGACCCAATTACTGGACGTGAACCACCGTTGTCCATACCTTTGAAGGAGCTATTAAGACATAACCTCCGGGAAACTGATAAATTTCAAGCTCCAAAACGAGATGAGATGATGGGTTGTTCAAGGGTCAAATCTAGTTCAAGTCTTGAGGTGCAGGCTGGATTCCCGCCTGGGGCGCATGTTTTGCCCATGCCTCAGCATTCTTGGGAAATAGCTGCGCGAACTGCTGCACTAAACAGAGGTAACAAATAAAGCAAGTCAAAAGTGATGAAAGCGTTCATGTGCACAAATCTTCCGCTCATTCACACATTCCCACGAGCATCCCCACATAAAACGGAACAGATTAAAAAGAACGGGAATGCTCAGACCACCCATTATGAATGACGACCATTTATCTTCATTCTGCACACTTATAATGAGCTAATGGGAAAAGCGAATTGGAAAACAAGTTTTTCACTTTCCCCTTTCTTCTCCGTCGTGATTTTCTCCTCGGGAGGTTTCCTCACAAAAATTCCTTCCTTGTTGTAGCTAAGAGGGAAGGAGAAAGGGTACTGTATCCCAAAATATCCCTTTGAACACAGGTAGTTTTCTATGGGGGATTTCTTTTCACAGCGATGTCGTGGTGAGACTCCAACCGCAGCGGTTCGAAAAAGCTCCAGGCATTTCACGCAATGAACATGTTTCCGTTAAGAACTTAAAGGAAGCGATTACGATAGATCTCAAAGGGGTTTAGAGGGGACGTGGGGTCTCAATAGTACGCCAATGGCGAAAAAAGCAAAGAAATCCGTCAAAAATAAGCAAAATAGTACCCCTTTGATTGCCCTTTCATTTTCGACCATGGATGAGCGACGGTAAAGAACGACGTTGTTCGGACGTGTTAACCCCGATAGCCGCCATCATGCCAACAAGCATAGTGTTTTGATTGATAAGGCAATACGTGGGCAAGTTGGAAGATACAGCCGCTAGAAGGGAAATGATCATCCAAAATGAAAAGCCAACAGCAAACAGTCCATCCAGATCATCAACAAAACTAGTGGGCGTCACGTCACTGGGGGCGGGCGTCACACGGGTCCTGCTCAGCAACCACAGCACCTTTCGCCGTGGGAGGACCACACATCGCTTCCTTGGCAGCCAAGTAATTGCTCCGTGTGGCGCAGGTTCTCCCCCGATGCGAAAATTCCTTATCGTAATCGCTTCCTTTAAAGGCACGGACCGCGAAAAAGATGCTTTGAGAAACTCCATCCATGAATGAGATAGCAGGACTTCTAAAAATAAGGACCTTAGGACTGTCGCGACTTGAAAGTTCGCCACAAGGTAGCTAGTGTTTTCATTTGGCCGCTGCGACCGCTGCCATCCTTTCGTACGTGGCGTTTGCGCCCTCTTGCGCTCCTTCGCGTTCTCCCTTTCCTCGCAGCACTGCGTCTCTCCGTGGTACCACGGTCAACCTCACAACAAAATTTCAGTGTTTTCTTTGGTAACCTTAGTGTTTTTTTACTGTAACCTTCCAATAGATTTTTCCCCCTTCATTTCCGATTTTTTTGACTATTTATATGTATGGGACACACCGATTGATCGCGACCCCCTGTCACCTTGCTGTTCCAAGGAAAACCTTATGTATGAAGAATTGACTGGTCAATGACGAGTTTTTGTGGAGAGAAAAGTTGAAGAAGATATCTCCAGTTTTCTTCTATTAAAACAATGAAACTTAAAACTATGCAAACGGTCAATGACGTCCAACTCCCACGAGTGAATTGATAAAAACCAATGGGAACTTCTGGAATTTCTGAGAGCAGAAGAATTTCCAGAAGAATGCGGTTAGCATTCATTAGGAAGGAAGTACGTTTGTTCATGGAGAATGCCGCTTGTGTGCAAAAACTGGAAAATAGTCTATGGCAGGAACAGCTCTTAATGGCTTGTGGTGAATGTGAAGATTGATTTCGGTATGGAAAAAATGAGGGAAATTTCCGGTGTTCGCTTTGTTTCCGGACATCCACACAGCACCAGGCAGCTTGCAGGGCTGCTCAAGCAGTCAGATCCAGGGTGCTTTACATTCACTGGAATAATTATCTTTGAATCAAACGGGACCCTTTCTTAGAAGTATTTTTGACGCCTTGAGTCCCATTCTATGAGGGATGGGCGTTCCAGTGTAAAAGCAACTGAGGCATAGTTCGAGTAGCCCAGGGCAATCCTTACCTGAACCGGGAGCTCAGGGCCAATTAGCACCTGGGTCTAGCGCGTTCCCTTAGAAAATGTGAAATGCGTGGGGTGGACGCCAAGACAAGGTCAAACGTCGCGCTCGCGATTTTCCAAAGATTTTGTAACCTCACCATCACCATCGGCCTGAGCAGATTTCCCGAATAAGACACCCCTTCCCACCCCGATCACCACTCTCACCATCTTGGATGTGCATGACTGCTTTTGATCTTATTGTTTCTGAGACGCACGTCAGGGCGGAGGGGGGGGGGAGGATTGTATCCACGTCCGCTATTTCAATGAAACTTTCGTAAAACTCAAAAAACCCGTCAAATACAACCCTCCTCAACCCCAAAATATGACCCTCTAGTGAGAACGGACGGTTAACTCTGCGCCGGAGAATTTTGAGCACTCATGGGCGCAGTGCACTTCATTTAAACAATAAGGCTAAGAAAGTCCTTTTCACCTGACCATTTATGGCGACAAAATATATGCGATTTGCAATGCTATACCGATTCAAAATTGCCGAAATGACAAGCCTTAGTTGCGGATATCCGAAGAAAACTCGACTTCTTTGAATTCGGAGAGAAAGACTCTTCTGGGATATCTCCATTGGAAAAGCACAACCAATTTCCAGAACATTGGCTGGAAAGAATGCTAGTGAGCTCAAAAACCACGAGCTGTATAAAGGTTGTTAGTATCAACTGAGTTGATGCCAGGTGAAAAATTGCGGAAACCGGAAACCGAAA